CTCACACCATCAGCAATGAGGGGGAAACATATTTCTGTGTGAATTCCATTTTGTGATGAATAGGAATGGATCCTTGATAAGAGGTTAAAATTCATATCAGGGAAAACGTGGACTATTTTAATATAAATGGTTAAATTTAAAATTTTTATTTTTCACTGAAAAAAATATGAGAAATTTAAATTAAGAAATTTATATCCCTGGAATGTTTGCAGGCTAAAGTGTCAGTCTCATATGTAATCTTTTAGCATTATTTATATTTTCAAGGAAAATGCATTTTAAACTTTACAAGTTCCATCATCACAGGTATAAACTTGTCTATTTCCATACTGAGATGTCCAAAGCAACAACTCTCCCAAATCCTCCCTGTAGTCTGAGATTTTTTTCCTTCATGGCAGAAATATAAGTATGATGGTGTATTATAAAAAACAAAATCACTAAAAATGGTTCTTAGTAATACACTGAAAGCCAAAAATATAAAACTAATCAATAGGTAACCACCTATTTATTATTAACTTTCCAGTTCAGTAAATGTCATTTCACTGCCAAAAATCTTGTACTTCAATATGCTCTTCTTTCCTTCAGATGGGGAGGGTAAGATTTTACACACACAAAAGGTTAAAAAACCAAGGCCATGGGTAATTAAAACAAACCAGATGCTGAAAACATCAGACTTCTATCCTAGTATTTTCCACCTGGCTGTGCTAAATTAAGAATATCAACCTAAGTGACAAAACCTACTGGAGACACTCAGCAAATAAACTGGCTGCACGGTGCTCACAAGACCTTACCTACGTGGTATTTGCTTACAAAAATAGAATGGATTTTAAAACAAACTATGAGACAGGCAACTTAGAATCATCCTTCAAAGAATGCTAAAGGCCCACATCGCTAACTCAACAGCACACAAGAACCTCTCTCAATGGCTTCATCCCATTCTCACGAGTGTAAGATGACAACTCTAATTGCCAAAGTCCTATTTCCCAAATGGAACCTCATTTTAACACTCTTTCTTCCAAAGTGCAAGATACTAAAAACTATATGGAAATTTCTTCCCTATTTGTGTATATTTCTCTAGGAAGAGAGAACTACAGTTTTCTTCAGTGTTCAAAGAGACTCTAGTCCCTCAACATGAACAAGAACTTTCGATTTTACAATGACTCTAAAGAAATGCAGGAACGCTAATTATCTCAAGTAACTATCACCTCCTAGTCCAACAAAGAGATGAATTAGTCAAGAAAGTGTGTACTAAAAGCTTTAAGTAGGGGGAAAAAAAAAGGAAATTAAAAATCTGTCTTGAAGGAATAGTTTATTGGTTTGATATTCATAAAAGATTTTTGTGATATTCCATTAACATAGTCTTTAAAGTTGCTGACATAATCTCCAATAATGAACAACCCACAACAAAAAAAAGTCTGGAAGAAAATCTAGTGATTTAGAATATAAATTTCCTTTTCATGATAAACGTTTCTAAGTAAAAGGGAAAAGCCGAGTATTAAATCTATCATTACACATGGTCCCCAATTTATGATGGCTCAACTTGCAATTTTTCAACTATATGGTGATATAAAAGCAATACACGTTTAAGAAAAACTGTACTTTGAATTTTGATCCTTTCCCGAGCTAGAAGTCTGTGATAGGAGACTCTCTGGATACAGGGCAATGGTACCAAGCCACAGCTCCCACTCAGCCAACGGAGCACAAGAGTAAACAAGGGATACTCTGTGCTGCCAGATGATTTTGCCCAAGTGTAACATAAATGTTCTGAGCATGTTTAAGGTAGGCTAGACTAGACTGTGATATTCAGTAGGTTAGGTGTATTCAATACATTTTTAACTTAATGCTATTTTCAACTTACAATGGGTTTATCAGTAGCATCTGTATTAGACTGGACAAGGGAAAAATGTACATGTACATTAAGCTGTACATAACATACCCAGTTCAAAATATACTGGTGCTAAAGCAAAACCTTCAGGGCATCTTTAAAAAAAAAGCAGCTACCATTTTACTGTCACTCTCTTTTCAGTAGGTTAGGTGTATTCAATATATTTTTAACTTAATGCCATTTTCAACTGACAATGGGTTTATCAGTAGCATCTGTATTAGACTGGACAAGGGAAAAATGTACATGTACATCAAGCTGTACATAATATACCCAGTTCAAAACATACTGGTGCTAAAGCAAAACCTTCAGGGCATATTAAAAAAAAAAAAAAAAGCAGCTACATTTTACTGTCACTCTCTTACAATAAATAAGTATAACTTTAAATTTGTCGAGTTTTTTTTTAATACATTTTTCAAAGTGGGAAAGAAAATTTTGCATGTCAGATCTTATCTGCTATTTATTTTCAGTCAGAAACTGATATAATGGAAATCAGTAATATAGATATATACTAAGAAACTGCAAGTTTATTTAAAGAAAAAAAGACGACACTGTAAGGCACCCTATAAATGGTTTGGTTTTACATCCATGCCACCTATTCTTATGGCATTCTGGGTTACTGTTTTACTCCTCAAAGCCCCCATCCTTGTCTTCACAAAGATTTCTTAAAATGAAAATCTATTAACTGTTATCACACAAAACTACTCAGCAATATTCAAAAAGGTAACATGTCATTAAGAACATCGATTCAATTGACCCATTGAAAGCCTAACTCAAAGTTATGAGAAAATACTACTCATTGCAAACATAAGTATTTTTATTAAGACCAATCTGTAGAAAGTTAGCATTGATATTAAAGGAGAAGATGCCTGTGAGAATGCAGTTAGCACAGCATTGCTCACACAGGAGTTACCTTTGTTTTGTTTTACACAATGGAATACAAGCCTAGAGATACAGAAAATCTTCCCTTGAAATAAAAAATTCCTCTAGTCACCCTACTAAAAGTTATGATGCACATCACACAAGCTGAAAGCCAAATCTGTTAACTTTACTAGTGAAAATTGTCCTAAGTACACCACAAAAATCTAAGACTTCATTATGAAAACTTCTTTTAATTCAGGCTCCAAAAGTTATCATTTAAACCATAATAAAACATGTATCTTTTAATATATAAAAGGCTTAAAATAACCACTGCCTTTCAAGCCTAAGTGCTTTCAGTTTCCACTTAGCATATTTACATTTGAAATCCTGAAATAATTAACTAGCATTATAAATCATCTAGTATCACGAACCAAATAAATACACAATAAATATTCTTCCCAAATTAGAACATACAAAAGTGTGGATTTGGCACTAAACTACAACATGTGGGCTCCGTACGTAACCAGAACCGGTGAGGACTTCTACGTCTGTAAAATTAAACTAGCCAAAGGAAGAAAAAAAAAAAACATGCATTTTATGTCCTCCACAGTGAATTTGACAGCCAGGTGTGGCATCACCAGACATAAAACCTCCAAACAGTTCTATAATATATCAACAAAGCAGCAATACTGACAGCTAAACACTAACAAGTGGGAAAGCATCTAACCAGGATAAGCTACGTAATCTGCCAGTCCCAGGGCAATATGAAAATACAGGGTAACCTTGTCCAAAAATTCTTAAGAATTTCAAGATACGGGAAGGTGTGCAACTGCACCAGTTACAAGCAGGCTAAACAGTCCTGCCTATAACTAAGTACGCATGCCAAAACAAAACAAACAAACAAAAAAACCTCCCCCCACACACTTACACTGGAATGTGGTAGCTTACTATAATTTTTGACCTGTACAGCTGAGTAGCCAAGAAGCAAAGAGCTGGGGTAGACTGCTATGGGCAGGTTTTCCACAGGGTGGCACACCATTCGGACCTAATACCACCTCACCTATCCGGCCCCTTACAATGTCACCGAAAAGTAACCAAACCAAGCTAAGTACCACAGATCTCTAGCCTCTCTCAATTCCAAATAAACATGAATGATAAAGGTGGCAATAAGAGTGGGGCGATGTGATAAATTTAGTAAGACATCAAATGGGAGCAAAAAAAAACTGATGCTACCATGCAGACATCAAAAAGGTGAATGGTAAAGTCAGTCTTGATAAGAAGCTTAAGAAGCAATTTCTGAGTATCTCCTCCTTTGGGGGAAAAGAACATGAAGGCTAATTTGCCACTGTGGTGCTCTTGTGCCATCCTAATGCCTGAAATGCATCACAGATTTTTTTTAAATTTTATTTCAGCAAAGAAAGAGGAAAAGGTTGATTCCAGCTTAGAAGTCAGGATATTCTGGAAGGCTTTGTTGTGTCCTCAAAGAGAACCTAAGACTTGCTTCAAGAATAGAGGTGGGTTGGTGGGGGAGGAGGCACATTATTTTTAAAAGGCAAGCATGGAAGGCTGGAAGAGCCAAGAGCGGTTGGTTACAAGGATTCAGCCAGAAACATCTGTCTGTGTAGAAAAAACCAAAAGGTTGGTTCAAGGAATAATGGTATTTGCCACTTACAGCATCATTCTCCCTTAACCTATCAAAAGCTGAGTCTTAACTAAAACCACTAAAACTGGGACAGAAGAGCTTTTTCTCTTGTGAACAAGTAGTAGCCAGAACAAACCAACCAAAAAAAAAAAAAAAAAAAAAAAAAAGAAAGAAATCAAAAGGAACTATAAAACACGTCTTAGGCATAGAAAAGAAAAAAGGTTCCACAGTAGCAGACACTGACCAGCACTGGGTGTTTGTTCTAAACAAGGAGCATACCCTAAAACTAAAATTCTCTTGAACCACAGGAAAAGACTGTGGGCACTGAATATAGCTGACTTGATTGGTCCTGAAAGACGATACACAAAGTAGAGAAAACACCTAAAGACAGGGAAGAGGGAGGGGCTTACACACCTAAAGAACTGTCTTTCAAGGGGGGAAAAAATCTCCCCAAAAGGTGGCAGCGCAAAGTTACCCAAACAGGCAACAGGGGCCAGTTTTAATCACACACACACACACACACACACACACACACACAGTCTCTCAAAAAGGAAAATTGCAAAAGAGGAATCACAGAATTTAATACAATGTGTTTCTTCATATTCTAATTTTTCCTACCTCACTCTGGCCTTCATCTTCCAGGTGTTTTCTTCCTCTTTTCTCTCCGAATAATTTGCAAGCGAACTTCCCCTACGAATATCCTCCCAGAACCTTCAGAGTGTTACCTTAACGTCCCAACAAACCTCCTTTTTAGGGCCCTACCGCTTAACATTCAGGTCCATTCAGCAACACCATTTCTACACCCAAAGGTTCCTAAGAGAACGTAGATCCAGGACAACTTTTTCACCCGCTCACCACAATGGAGACTCCAGGTCAGCTTCCACAAGAAATGGGAAATTCAAGCGACTCTAGCGAAACGATTCTTGAGAAAACTCTTCAAGGGCAACGAAACAGTATTTCAAACAAACAGATTTTACTTGAGGGAATAGGGAAATTACACACCAATTGATATTTGAATGGTTTTAAATGGACTGATTTGCCTTAAGTTTTGAGGCTGAGCTACATTTTTAAGAATTATTAGGAATGGGGCCACTAGAAAATTGTTTTAAAAGCCCTTTTGTCCTTGTCGGAGGTATTACATTTTCGCACTGCCAAGAACTGTTCTTTGGGGGAGGGAATAAAGGAGAGTGGACAACCCTAGCAAATCCTCCTTTCCCCACGTTTTCAGAAAATGAAAAGAGTCGACAGGACTCTTTGAAATCTTTGTCGTAAAGATGGTCTTTAAAAATGCACACAATTCTAAATGACCATCTGGACAGCTACACTCCATGCACACAGCTCGCATCCAAAGGTATGGTTTTACGCTCTGGCCCTCAAGGATGATAACAAGTAGGCTTTTAAGGAAATGCCGTGGGAAAGACTCTGCTGGCCGGTCATTGTCACGGCCACTGGAGGAGCACCGGCCAGTGAACCCACGCTGGCTCCCCCAATCTCACGCACACACATCCGCGCACCCGGGCCGCCGCATGCGGACCCTCCCGGCCGGCCTTCCCGGCCGAACTGGAGGAGCAGCTGCCGCAACCGTTTCTGAGCTGAATTCCCAGAGCCGACCTCACCCGGCAGAGCGCCCGCGCTTCCCGCGCAGCGCACGCCTAGCGCGCAAACCCGAGATGTGACCGCGAGTTGCGACCTCGCGCGGCTGCGACGGGCCTCACCTAACTCACTCAAGGGGATCATCCTTGCTCCTGCCCCTGGGCGGTCGCGGCCCCACAGCACCTCCGCTCACAGCGCGGCTAGCGCGAGTCTCCAAACGCCCGAGAGCTCTAAGGACCGCGCGCGAGGAGGCGCCGTAGCAAATGGGCTCACACCAGACACCACCCCGACACGTTCCGCAGGAGAAGCCAGGGCACACATCTTCCGACAAGGCGGGGTTGCCAGTTCAACACAGGAATCCTGCCCTTTTTCTAGAAAAGTCCCCTCCCCCACTTTCCCTCCAAGACACTCACCTGCGTCTCAGCAGTTTCCTTCTCGCGCTACACGCGGCCGCACCCGGGCACGTCCACGCCCGTGCACGCTGCCAGGCGCAACTGGCCTCACTCGGCTCCCGCCGCCCCCAACCTTCTCGTGCCCACGGGAGGGGCGGTGCCACCTCCCGAGGCGCCCAATTCCCTCCACTCCCGCCGCAAGGGGCTGAGCTCTAGGAACTTCGCAGGCACAACCTCCGCCGCCCCCACGAGCGTTCCCGCCCAGAGCTCGGACGAAGGCGCACCACCCCCACCCCTCTAGGCGCAGCGGGGGCGCGCACAGACCTTAGACTCGGCGTCCAAAATGGACCAGGGGTAAAGCGTGGGCGCCGTCCCCGCCCCCACGCCCCCCGCACTTGCCTGCTCTGACTCGGAGCTGCAGCTACTACGGCTCGTGCCACTGGCCGTCAGCAAAGCCGCGGAGGAGTCGCTACAGGCGAGCTCCGCGTAGAGACGGTGGCGGCGGCGGGAAGTGGGACTGGAAGCCGGCGGAACCCCCGCCCCACCCGCGCCGAGCCTACGACCGCCCTCCTCACCCGACCGGCTGCTGCCTCAGTGACGCCCGGGCGCCGCGGTCCCGCCGTTTGTAGCGGTGCTGGGAGGAGGGGCTTGCTTGGAAGAGCGCCAGGAGGCGGGGCCGGCGGCGAGTTCGCGGCGCGGCGGCCGCCGCCGGCGCGTGCCCTGTCCGACCGCTCCGCGGGTCCGTGCCTGCAGGGAGACGCCGGGCTTCAGCAGCTCAACTCGGTCCCTCCCGGCTTCCGAGTCCCACCAGGCTTCCCGGACAAGGTTTCCCCCGACCGCGCGGAGAGCGTTGAGCTCCCAAAGGAGGCCGATTCCAGGTGCAAGTTTGCAAACCTCGAGGCTCCGGGCGCCAACGGGGAGTCGGAGGAGCTAACGCTGGGGTTACTTTATGTGTTAATAAATATGTTTATAAATATACATATAAGTATATACACACACATATGTGTGTGTCTTTTAAAAAGTCTCTTTGTCCCCCTACTTCGCAGCCAAGGGGTCCTGTCCCTCGATGGAAAATAAAGACTAAGCCCCCTGCTTCCCCTCCCTGCCTCTCTAGAGGGGATCTGACGTTTAAATAAGCCCAGAGTACCTGTGCGGGGTGCTATACTCTGCTTCAAACGCAAAGTAGGAAATCCTGCACTCGGCTATGCAAACGCTGGCCGCTAGCCGCATCCTTCCAACGCCCCCCACGGCAGGACCCGAAATGGCCAACTCTTCACCGAGGGGGCGTCCCATCGTTGCCTTGCCTCGGCCCGCCCCCTCGCCAAGCTCAATCCCTTTTCCGCAGAAAAACCTGTGCCTGTCCTCAGCCCTCAGTCCCACGGCTGGAAGTCAAAACCGACCCCGGAGCCACGCGGCTGGAGCACGTTTTTACACCTTCTCAGCCGCTTAATTGAGAGAGCACCTGTCGTTGGGATTTTTTTTCCTTGCAAAGGGATAGGTTTTAACCCTTCTCCTAAAATCTACATTTTAAAAAAAAATCACCTGTCATACCTACCTGAAATTGTAGGAGGTAAGAGAAAGGAACCGAGCAGTGGGCGACCGAGTCGCCGCAAGAACGTGACCGAGGTTACGGCTTCAAGGGCATGATGCGGGTTTGATGCAGCAAGGTCCGCTAAGGGCGCCCAGCGCTCCCCGCCCCCATGCGACGGGCGGGGCGGGGATGGGGGAAGGGAGAGGACTCGTCTAACCCAGGGCGGGGGTGGGAGAGTCAAATTTACCCTCTTGGGCGAAGTCTAATCAGCACAGTGAAGTAGGGGGCTCAATCAAGGTCACAGGCGAGACAGGCCGTCTCTCAATTTGTGGGACTCATTTTGGGGACAACGGAAATAGCTAATTGATTCTATATCAGCATTTCTGTGTCGCCCCAAATCCGATTTGCAATTAAATGACCTTAATTGACTTTGTGTGGGTTCCTGGGAAAACTTCTCAAAGCGCCTGCGCCTCTTTGACCTGGCTATAAATAGTTAATTATAATATTTACATCCCAGGCACGCGGGATTGCTAAAAATGCCTATTTCCAAAACGTTAGGCGAAAATGGGCCTACCTAATTTGTCAATCCAAGCCTAAAACTCTTAGAATGCCCTACGCCCTACTTCCTGACGCTGACTAAATTGTGGGAGAGCTCTGAAAAAGAGTTCCCCAAGTCTTCCAAACCACTTCTGCCTTATAACCCTAAGGGTTTTTTGTGAAGAGCTCCAGAACAGGTTAGCTTTATGAAGCGGGGTGCCCAACCACTTGGTTAAAAGAGGGAAAGGGGAAGAAGTGCCTGCTGTAAGGCACACTCAAGCAATGACACCAATAAGGGCGAGAGTTAAAAAATTAAAATGTTGACCCCATAAAAAGCAACTTTGAAACACTCAACATTTTTTTTGCAGCCTTATCTGTTCATATTCTGACAAATCTTTCAGATGTCCCATTTAAGAAGCCATTTTACAAGGAAGTCTTAAGGCCCAAACACATTTCCTACCCTTCTGTTCCCCAAAACACGAACACCCTTTTTCTGACCTTTAGGAACTGATTTTCAATTTGGAAAATAATGTCTTCGGTTACTATTGTCTGCTGTGTACTTTCTAAAATTTTTCATTTTAAGCCTACGTTTTATAGGTTGCAGTTAATAGTGTAGGCCAGGGAAATAAAACATTCACCTCCTTCCCACCCTCAGAGGATGGGTATAATAAATAGGGTTACGGAGAAAGGCTGTAGGTTTAGAATCTTAACCAACGGGAGTGTTTGTACATGAGTGGGGGAGGGGACAGAATCGTGCATTTCGGGGAGAAAGTACAGAGACATCCATCCCTGTCCAGCAGTGTTAAGAGCAAATACTAAATGGTTGGCTATTTCTCTCACCCTCGCCATAATAAAAGCCAACCTGCATCTGGTAATTACGAGAGAAAATACCCAGTCTCGCCATCAGTTTTGCTAACTGGTACTAGAAAATGGGAAACGGGGAACGTATCCAACCTTCAATTTGTCACAGTTGTATAGCTCTCGTATTAATTCTTTACAGACGTGAAATAGGTGGGTACGTAGCAACGTGCTGGGCATAAATTAAGCAACAATGGCCACGCGAGGTCTCGTCCGCCGCGGAGCTCCAGTGGTGGCCACTGCCACCTTGCCATCCCTAGCCCCCCCCCGCCCCCCCCCCCCCCCCCGCCCTTTGCTGAGTCGAGTCCGGGAGGCTGGCCGTGCGCTGGCTTTCCCAGCTGGGAAAGTGGGTGGGGTGAGGAGGAACCAGACGTTAACCCCAGTCGGCTTTGTACCTTTTCCCCCATCCTCTACCTCTTGAGCACCACATGAGCGCTATCACGCACACACTCATCCACACCCCCTCGTGCCAATAATTTAAACTTCTCTTAGGCAAAGCCAGCACCTCGTTCCACCACCACCACCCCTTCCGCCCTCCCCGCCCCGCGAACATCCTCCCCCTTTCCTACATCTACCCTGGATTCTCTTTGGCAGTTGAAAGCCAGCCGGTTTCTCCTAAACCCTGAGAAATCACAAAAGTTAAAATGAAGCGTGTGCCTGTCTGCCCAGCTTCTCATCCCCAACCATCCTTCTCCTGGCGTCAGTTTAACAATAGCTATTCGAGGAAGCTGGGGCGGGGGGGGAGATGAGGAGAGGGTGAGGGCCACCTAGCCGAGTTGGCTCTTGGGGTGGCTGAGAAGCCTCGCGGCTGCGAAGGGGTTCCCCTTCGCCCAGAAGGCGAAGTCAGCCGCGTAGGACCAAGGACAGGGGCTTAGAATCCACTTCCTATCGCCTAGCACAGCGAGGTTCCCAAGCAGCCGCCACTTCACAGACACAGCTCCAAGGATCTTATTTACGCTTTTCTGAACAAAGGGAATCTCATATCCGGTACAGGCTTAAGAATTCAGCCCCAAATTGGCTATCTTCCTTTAAAACTGAATTATGATAATTGGAGTCCGTGAATCAGAGCCCGCATACAATGATGAGTTTTGACAGCTTCTAACAACCCTAGCCTCAGCCCAGCCCCAGCCCCAGCCCCAGCCCTCAGGCGGCATGTACTTTTTTCAGTCAACTACAACTCGCTGCCTGGTGCAGCATCTAAATTCCATCTGGCAATCCCATCTCCCCAGCACATGCTATCTGGTTAATGCAATTAAGCCTGTGGTTTTCGCTGGTCTAATCTGCCAGTCCAGGCTTCTGATTCCCCTTAATGATTCTAAAGCCTCTCCCGTCCTTCGGTTGCTGAGCGAAAGTAGAGGCATGCATCCCCAACACCCAAGTTATCCCTCTCTTACCACGAAATGAACTTCCAATTTCAATCCTGAAGCTCGCTCCACATCTAACCTCCCATTGTACCCCTGCTCTCCCCTGGCCACATTTACCACTTAAGTTTCTGCCATGGACATTTGCGAATATTCAGTACGCTAAGCATGCGTCCACCGTCTTTTAGTCTAGCTCTTTAAAATTAAAAAAGCAGAACAGTAGCTTTGAAATGAGACAAACATGTGCAATTAACTTCATATTCTGTATTCCGCTCACTTACAGGTTTTCTGGGTTTGCCAGCGCATCGCTGCAACTAATGATTAAAGAAACCAAACCGAAACTTACCTTTCTCCCTTAAGGTTTTTGTGTATGTGTGTTTTTAAAGTAACGGTGCAGTTCTCCCAATAAGGATGAGCAAGAAGCTGCTGGATAGTTCTCTTAAGACAGCACGAAACCTAAACTGTGCTCGGCTTAAAAGAAGCAAATAAAAAGAAACGCTTTCGACCCCAAAGTCCAATGCTAAAAGAAATGGCGGAAAAAAAAATATGAAAGGGGAGGGGAAACTTAAAAAAGAGTTTAAAAAGACGGAGAGACTACCCTCCTACTGCCGTTCAACTAAACAAAAAGGGGCAAGAAAAACAAACCAAGGAACAAAGAAAAGAGACGAAAGAACGTTTTTTCAAAAAGACGATGTCTTTCTCCTTGTTGCTTTTTAGTAGGTCGCTACAGGAGTAAGCTGCTGCATCTCTAACTGAGAACAGAAATAGGGGGGAGGACGTCTTAAAAGGGAGGTGGACTGGACCACAGATTTATAGCACCGTATCACCAACCCCTTCTCTGCCTCCGCACTGCCGTGTGTGCAGCTGCTCTGCCAGGCTCCTATCCCGGGCAGCACGCGCGGAAGTATACGCCGAGTCGCGGCACAACGTAACTTGCTCATCGCCCCAGGATCCTGATTGGTCCAGACGCTTCCATTGAGGCCGCCCAGGCGGGGCAGCGTGAGACGATTGGCTATGGGCTTGTGTCACTCTCGAGAGCTCAATGGAGTCCCGTTTCAAGGTAAGTTGTGCGGGGAGGTACACTCAACACTGGCGGCGAAGGGAAATGCAAGAAGCAAAAAGAAATGTGGAGACAGCAACGTGGGAGGGTTGGAACTGTACTATCAGAGTTTGCGATACGGCACAATCTCTTTTCCTCTTAAATCTTTCTGCTTCGGAAAGATTCATTTCCTTTGCCATCACTGCTGCATCTATGGCATATTTCTATATAACATTAAACTCTGTCCGGTATGTATGAATCATTGAGAGCTCCCTCTCTTTGATCTGAGTGAAAGGGATGAATGTACATCCATTATTTGCCCGCATGCCTTTTTCAGTACTGTATTTTGTATTAGATGTTAGGTAATTGTATGTCTTTATTTTAATATATGTATATTTCAGATCTCTTTCTTCCCATCACCCCCTTGTTAAAGCATCCTTTTAACATAAGGATAAAGTCAGAAATGCTGTCAAATAAAGCTGCACGGTTTCAATTTGCTTGCACTTTATGTTAGACTAGAAAAGTGTAGGATAAAAATCCTATCCAGAAAAAGAGGTACTGAGTAGAGCTAAGGTCCTTCACTTCGAGGTGTCTAATGGCTCTCAAAAAGAGCAGCTGTACATAAAATTGGAACAAGCCACTCCTCTGCATTTGCAGACAGGTACAGTCCTTGGACCACACATGTATTGCTGACAGCAAAGATAGACGAACATTTATCAGGGCTCTTTCTGTGAGGATTTAAGAAGTTTAACCAGAAGACCAAGTACTGTTAATGTTTCTGCTTCATAGAGGAAGACTAATTTATTACAACCCCATATTTTAATAGCATTCAGGAGACCAAAATACAGTTTTATGCATGATAATTATTTCTTTCTCTAAGTGAAAGTGAGGTCCTCAGGATCGTCTGGATCAGTATTCACTTGACCCAGGTTCTTTTCCAGCCAGAATTTCTCCTTTCAATCCTGAAAGATAGTACCAACTTCCTAGACAGTTGATACCATTCTTAAACAAACAATGTAACATATCTTCTCCAGAGGCACATGCCTTTTTGAAAGGAATTCCTTTACCTATTTACAACTAGTCCATACCTTTGAGAATGCTGGAAAAAGAAGACACAGGTAAGAGTTAGAGATTGCAAAAGGGTGGGGTGTCATGGAGGGGAATGGGACAGATGATAAAATGACTTGGAAGTGAGGAATACAGTAAATCGGTGTTCTTTGAGCATGTCCTTGAGTGTTGATAAATGATTAATGGTGGAAAAAAGACCCGTTTATCTCCCGTGTAGCCTGTATAATAATATATGAGTTCTATTACTTTGCATGACAATAATTGGGGGTTGAGAAAGAAGGCCTGAATCTATGCTATCTTATAATTAGCATGTATAAAATCATGCCTTAACCTCCACCCCCACTTTTTATATAACAGCCCCTGGAGTCTTAATTTCAACTTAAAACTGTTCTCTAGACCTGAGTGAAACTCAAAGCAAGAAGAAGAAAAACAGTTTGAAGAAATAGAGTAAAGGGGGAAAAGACAGAAATAATAGATATATAAATAACAGAAGATTGGGTTTGTAGTCTGCCTTCAATCTCTTCCCCCTCATCCCCAGCTCCATACAGAGAAATAAACTTTAAATGAATACAATTTGGGGAAAGTATAAAACTGTTTGATTTAATCAGACTTACCTATGAAGTGAATTGTTTTTCCTTCTTGTTACCATACTCTTAATACTGAATTAGTTGTGTATGCTCATATAATTTCAGTATGTTGAAGTAAATCTTTACCATTACAATTATATAAGTGCCTTCTAACTAGGTGAAAATTAATACTTTAATTTTTTGGTACATGTTTATATCCACAAGAATTTGTAGATAACTGTGGTATATTTTCCAAAATGATAAGGACAGGTGTGGAAAGTTGGGAGTGATATGGAGTAATAAAAATCTAGCATGTGTATTATATAAAGAAACTACATGGAAAATGGTAAACTCGTTCATTCAAATGCATATTGCTAAATTCTGTAGACTCAGTATTTATGTTTTTATCCAGCTTGGGCAGAGCGACAAAATATTATTCTAAGTATTGTCATACCTAACATGTTGTCTTTTTATGTAGGTAACATGGACTTAAATTATTTTTTTAAATGAAAGTATCTTAAAATGCTGTTTTACTTCCTCATTAAAACAGATGTTTTTATATTTTAAAACTTTTAAGTGGATAGAGGTATCATAAGCAACATGTACTTTTTCAACTTTTAAAAATAAAAAAATATTGATTACAGCCACTTTAAAACAAGTGATATCTGGATGTAGATTTCACTTTGAAATTCATGTGTCATAGCTTGAAACATTAATACAAACTATCCTGTGATTAATTAATGAAGGCTATGTGCAAATATCTCATTTTAGAATAAGCAAAAAATGCAGTCAACCCCTCTTCACTCATGGATAGGTAAAAAATTATCCATAACATCTGAACTGGCACTAGAAAAGCACTTAGAAGACATTTGAGTATGATTAAATCACATGAACTCTGACATATCTTCCAAGTACCTGGCATTATTTTGAATTTCAGCAGAAAAGGGAGAGATGAAGGGAGTGACTGTGAACTTGGAGAAAAAGTGTGATGTGGATAAAGTTGCAAAAAAAGTAGTTTTCAAAACTGAAAAAGTAATGAATTATTTTATTAAACTTTCTATACAAAAGAACAGTTATCACAAGAATATGTAAAGCTGTTGTGGAAAATGTCTTTTAGGATAAATAACTCCCTTAAACTAGTCCTCCTGGGGGCAAGGGAGGGAGTGATTTTACATTTTATAATAAAGGGTACTGTAAACTACTTGTAACATTTTTTAGGCAAATAAAAAAGTTAAACTATTAAAATGAGTTTACAATGTTTGGCTTAAGGCAGCAATTCCCAACAGTAAAGCTTAGATGAATAAAAACACTATGTGTTACTTTGGTGGGGTAGGGGGTTGCGGTTCATATTATTGGAAATATGATAGTTTAATGTCTGCATGAGATATACAGATATCATATAACTTGCTGATTACTCTTTTATTTATTCTTCTTAAAGTAGTATGTCGACTTGCCTTTCACCGTGAGGGAGGAAAAGTTGCGAAAATTGCCACCAGTGTGAATTTATACCGTGGTAACCACGCAAGAGAATGAGGCAGGAATTAGCACCATGGACAGAGACGAGCAGACTCGAATTAAGCTTTGCAAACCTTGGCAGGGTGTTTTCCGTCCCTTTCTGTGAGACACGGAAACTGCACGTCTTGGGAATGTTTCATTCCACGGGACTTTGCGGAAAAGACTGTCCTACTCTACGGAAACTCATTTATTTTGAATTAGGCTGGCTTTTCTCAGGACTCAGCCATTGTGACAAACCGCCAGGAGAGTTAGAGCCCCGAACGCTGCGTACCCTCTACTGTCCTCTTTTACATACATTCCCTAGCTGGAGTGAGCCCGCCTTTCGTCAGTGTTCAGACAAAATAAATGCAAATACAGGTAGTCTTGGAGAAGTCTGGTAAACATACTCCAGGGTTTTCAACCCTTGAAATTCTCAGCTGGAATTGCAGCAAAAATGCCTACCTGCTCACCATTGCTCCCTTCCCCCAGTTCTCCGGGTTCCCTCCACCCGTGGCAAAGGGGTAAAGCCTTTTATCCGAAGGTGAGTGACTCCCAAGACTATTTTGCGAAAGATCCTTTACATGGCAGACACTTTCATTAGAGACAGTGCCAGGGGCGGCAGTGAACGGGATCTCACACATCCTTTACTTTCTCTTTACATTGTGTCTTTAAACTCCTGTTCAAGGGGAAAACACTAAAGAGAGCACACTCAACGAATATTCCCCCTAAATCCCGAGGTTGCTGTTTACACTTAAAGACACATGAATTGTTCATTTAAATGTTTTTAAAACATGTAACTAGTGTCGCGGTAAACCTTTGAGACCAGACTAGGTTAGTTCTACCTTCCCAGCCCTCCACCTACACACACACACACACACACACACACACACACACCCTTTTTTCCCCCGAACCAATGTATGAAGTTCACTGGCCTTTAGATGATTTGCCTGCAGATATTCAGACTAAGATCTGTTGCATATGCCCCAGAGTGTCTCAGAAAATATATTTGCTGCCTCAGATCGATGATTATTTTATGTAGACGCTCCCACAAATGTCCCCAGATTTCCCTCCCGTCTTTTACTCAATAGCAACTTTTAGGATGATAAACTCACGTCTTTCCTGAGCGTGCAAAGGGAAAATCTAGGTGACTAGCCAGGGTGAAGAAAAAAAAAAAAAAAAAACCACGGAGGTGAGAAAGGGCAAATCAGCCTTATGTGCGTTCCTTTCAGGGTTACTAACAGCCTTCTTTAAGCTTCCCCCTGGAGCCGATACATCTCATGCAAAATTAATACAAGTAATTAAAAATAGCAATTTCTAAAGTTAAAGGTAGCCATCTGTCTCAGCTGGTAGCAATCAGTCTTTTATCCGGCCCCTGTACCGGGACCTGGGAAGAAACGGTTTTTCTGCTTCCGATGCTCGGAGGCTCTTTCTTATATTGAAGATTTATGTTTCCACTTGTGCGCGATGTACGTCTAATTTGAAATAATAAAGCCGGGCTGAGCAACCAGTCAATCAGAGCCATCCAGGACGCTCAGCACGCCTCCCAGCCCTCCACCTCCCTCTGGTCTCTAACTCTTTCCCTCATCCCCCACCCTCTTTCTCCTGGCCCTCCCCCTCCTCCTTCCTCCCTCCTCGGTTCTCACACGCGCTCACACTTCCCCCCCACGTGTGTTCAGATCAAACCCTTGCCCCACAGAGCAAGTGACGGCACCGGGGCACGGTGACAAAGGCGGAGTTTGTATCAGAAGAAGACTGAGGCCCGGGGAGACACAGCGGCTAGAGAAACAGCTGTCTTATCAGCCCGCTGCAGAGATGGAGATGGCTCGAGAGGTCCTCAACAGATAATCACTTGAATAGGTTTGCAATGCGCCAAACTTCACGCTTGATAAGGCCAACCCAATGTAGAGAGAAGCCCAGATCCTGCTCCATTCTGTTTTATCTGGGCTGTAAATTAAGAAATTGAAATTCAGGTGGCAAAGGCAGCAGTCTGCTGATAGACCGCTAAAGTAAACTGTCATTAAAATGCTTTCGGCAGGCAGAGGGGCACCTGGAATGGGATATTGTTTAAAAAAAAAAAAAAATAGTGGGAGGGGGCAGTAAGAAGAAAAAGAACACCTGGCTTAAAAATTATTTGGGGAAGGGAAGCTATGAGAAGTGGAAAAGGGACACAGCATCTGGCCATGATTCCTAATCATAGCTACTATGAATAAACAATTTGAAAAGTACAGTATGAAGTTGTGTGAAGTTGGGTGTGATGAAAGATCAAGGGACAATATAAATCAATCTGGTATAAAAAGGAATTCTGTCTTTATCTGAGCAGGGGTCAGAGAAAGTGGATAGCAAATGGACTCTAGTTTTTCTTTCATTGTTAAAAAAAAAAAAAAAAAAAAAGCAGATCAACCAGATAGAGAGGAGAGAGGAGTTACCATAAATTGAAGTTAACCTGGCCTTTTGGTTGAAGTGAAAGGGCCAAGGGAGAGATTCCAGGATGATTTTTACAATAGCCTAAGAAGTTGTCATCTACAGGAAAGAATCTGCTGAGCTAATTATAGAAATAACAGTTATATTTCAACTCCCTCCTTCCTTTACCCAGGTAATGGCTATAGGATAATTCAGGAAACAAAAAATTCCAGGTATGTACTCTGACACCTACCTGATTCTTACGGCATACTGTATAACTACATTCTTCTGTCTGCTCTTTTGGATATGAGGTTTGAAATTTTATGCGTTATTTAAATAGATGTTTTCACAAATATTTAATATATAGAATGACCAGCATATAGCCAGTGATCTTGTTGTCTGGATTCACTAATGTCTTAGTATTATATCTTGTTCTTTGTGTCTTAAGTGAATTGCAAATTCTTGGTGTCCCTTTATGAGGTCAGTAGTAAGTATGAGAAGACACATGGCATTTTCCACAATGGCATTTATGTTTTAAGTCTTAGAAACACTTGCAAAAAGTTACCTTCAGCTGACAACACATAGTTAATACAGCTTTAGAAAATGAATCAAGTTTTATTTAAACTTCAAAACTGTGATAAATGTCAGAATGCACTTAACTGACAACATAAAGGCTTATGTTACTTTAGGGTAAGGAAAAATAAAAAATAAATTTGTTGAAAAAGTGATGAGAAAAATTTTAAGATGCTATAATAAATTTTAGCAACTATTAAATTATTTGAATAAAAAAACTTTGAAGTTATTTGATTATTCATAGGGTAGTATGTAAATAAATATGTCATGAAATCTCAAAGACATTTCTGTTGAATAGTTATATGCAAAAAATTCTTCATCTTTAACATAAAAAAATAGGTGTTTGATGGTTTTTTATTCTTTTAAATGTAAGTGTATAGATGAATAAGTGCTATATTTATAGATGAATAAGTGCTATATGTATCCTTTAATGAGAGAGAAAAATGTATGGTTGTGTAAGCTAACTGGTCCTTTCCATACCATATTTTCCATAGAGTTATACTGGTTTAAATAATGGCTACTATGTATGCATATTAAGAAATATTATTTTAATGAATTCCAGCATTTTAGGCAGGATTATATTATCTCCAAAAATCGGAAAAAAAGATATTTTTCTGCTTGTTAGAAAACAAGTTTGAATTATCAGCTTTAATAAGCCCCTTAAGCTATGATTTTTTTTCTTAATTAAATTGAAAATATGCACACAATGGACAGGGTAAACTATTCTTTGTTAATACAGGTAAGAATTTTTTAAGATGTGAATTTGCATAAAGATTAAAAGATACACTGTCAATAAGTTTGAAATGTGAAAAAAGATATTTTATAAACGTATAGTATTTCAAAACTAATTTTAAGGGACATTTTTATTATGAACATAAAATCTTTTAGCATGAAATTAGCATAAAAATCATTTTCATATAAATTTTTGTCACCAAAGGAATGATATATGTGATTTCTAAAGGCATAGCAATTCATTATAAATGATGAAAAATAATAAAGTAACCAAAAATGTAAAATTAGCTTTAAAGGATTTTCAATTATTAATCCCCCTTTGTGAGAAATGGGATATTTAATTTTTAAGAGAAACAATCTTGCTATAATGTATTTAAGCAAAAATGGTAGAAGCTTTTGAAATATCCAAAAGTCTTTAATGTTTTTGTTTAATGACTGATTATAATTCTATTACCAAAAATATCACACATAACTATGTCCTTCCGGATATAACATTTATCATCAGGTAAGAGTCAAATGAGTGATACATAATCACTTCCTATCTCTAAATATTTTTCCTTATCTTTGACAAAAGGCCCATTTCAATTTGATTCAAGCATCCTTTGAGTGCCTAGCATGTGCCAGAATAACAAAATTAGATTAGAGACAAGAAATGCTTGAAGGAAATCAGATTATATTTTGGGCGATAATACTAAATGGAAAATTCAAGAGGTTTAAATAACGCAGTTAATATGTTGTATAATGCATATTCACAATGTCTGGTTTATGTTGCTATTTGTCATTACAAATTTTTTCAAGATAATCGCTTTTTTAAAATTTATAACTTGTCAAAAAATTACTCCTTTATATAGGTATTGTAATGTTATCCTTCTAGGAGCTACAGTTTTACAAATTGTTAATGGCTTGGGTTTTGACTTCAGACACGTGGATTTAAATCTGATTTCACAGGGTCTTGGACAAGTTACTTTACTGCCTCTAAGCCTTGATTTTCTAATCTATAAAATAGTGATAATAATGCCTAATTTAGAATCACTGTGAGGTTAGATGTAATCATAAGTATAAAATACTCAAAACTTCCTGGCATAGAGGAAGCAGTCAATATATGGTAACTACAGTTATAAGAACAAAAATGATAACTTAGCACATTTACTTGATAAAGCCAGAATTAGAATTCCTGCCTTTATATACTGTCTCTTAAATATTTTCATTAGCTCTCATTAATGTCCCAACTGATATATTTCATGATAAATATCCTCTCACACTTCTAATTGCAACCAAGTTTAAAAGGCACCAAAAGGCATAAAATCTTCTATCTGCCCTGTAATGTGACTTCAATATATTTCCCAATACAATTTCATGATTCACCCATAAAAAGTTGGGGGTCTTCAAAAAGGAACTGAGTCTGAGATCCCATTTGACTGATACAATAATAAAAACACCTTAGATTTTTATAGTACCTTTATCACAAAAAGCTCAATGTACTTTTACATATTTATCATTGTAACCCCAGGAGGTAAAGAAGGACATAAATTATTTCTCATTTTCAGGGGGTATAACAGAGGCATTAGGAATTTAGGTAACCTTTCTAAGGTTACTAGAAATAATTTTCCTGAATATCAGTCTTTCTGCAATCTGTTACTCTCTTTGGCATTAATTATGGTATTGTTACTTTAGTTAGGCTCAAATGTTGTTAGTTTTGGCATTAAATATAGCTTAAAATTCAGTTAATTACTTGATGAAATCAAGTTGAGTCAAATATATACCATAACAGTCTAATCAAATTAAAATATTTTGATGTTAAGACACTTTTATTATTCAATCTTATATACGCACACATTATTCTTATTTACCATTCTTTGTTAATTTCTAAGGCAAGACTTTAAAGGTTATTACTCATTTATGGCCCTGAAAGAAACCAGTTCCAATCTACTTATCAGTCACCTCTCCCTAGGCTCATTCTCCCATCTCCACATATATTTTTATAGGCTATTATCTTTATTCCATTTACATAGGCTAACAGTATTTTCTGCTCAGTTTTCTATTTAGATTGTGTTTTAAAAATATATATCAAAATAAATATCCAAAAGAATATAGAGGTAGACTATATAAAGGGCTTTTTATAATGGGTTTTTTGTTTTGAATAAAACAAAAATGTATAACTAATGTCTTCTTGACATTATAAAACATAGAATATCAGAATAATACTAAAACTTGCTTATGGTTTATAGTTTTGCAGTTCCCTCCTGGGCTTACAGTGCTATGGATTGATACAGAGCTATAGCTGTGGACTTTCAGTAAGTGAAATGGAAGGAAACAACATTTTGCAGCCTGATGAAAGAATGAACCTTAAACTTGTAGAGGTATAAATTCATTGTAAGTCACAATGGAAAACAGACTTAATGTTTTTATTTTAAGCTTCAATAAGCATCTGTCTGCATCTTAAATGTATCACATGAATTGATAAAATTGACCCACTCAACGTCAAGCCCAGTCATGTGACTTCCAGACTTCTATGAGCAAGTGTAATTAGCACCAAGAAGAAACACATGAATACACATAGAACAGCTCCTGCTGCTGTTTATTACCATTTCACACTAACCTCTCTTAACTCTTCATGTTGATGTGATTAAATAAAAAATCCATTTCTCTGATGCAGCATTTTAAGGCTGAGGATACTGTTGTAATAGAAATAATATTCTATTCCTTTGGTCATTATCATTCTGGTATGAGAAATTAGAGAATACAGTTGCTTGAAATGTCAGTTTTTGTAAACATGAATTGGAAGATGTAACATAAATAAATGGTGTTACAGACTGTTTAAGCTGTATGAGTAACATATCAACATTTCCTTGAATTATTTTGACACAATTTACTGTGAATTTTTTTTCTCTAGATGATATTTCTGGATTCCTGTGCAGACAATAAAAGACTTTCTTTTATTCAGTGCTTATTATTTAACTCATAGAGTACTGATATATTCTAGAATAGTAATATTTCTAGATGTAAAATGAATACTAAAAGACAGGCATGTCTCCATGTATTAGTCATATCAAAAGGATACACGAAAGTTTGAGCCTCTTCATAAGGTTTGCATGAAAGAGGAAAATATTCATATATATTACAGTGTTCAGTCCTCTGTTTTAAAAGATCATTATATATATCTACCCAATTGGGTGTGTGTATATGCTTTAGAGCAAATAAAAGGAGGTTCAGAGGTGAAAATGACAGGAATTTGTTGAAGTAGACCAGTCTGACTACAGTAGAGGAAGTGGGCTACAAAGCATAGGAAATCAGTTTGGTTGGGTATCGTGGTATCCCATTATGCTGATTTTGAAAACCAGCCGAGGGAAGTACAGATATACAACTATTAGAAACAGGATACACCTATTGGCAACTGTGAATTTTAGAAATGCTGAACAGAAAGATATTCAAAGGTAGAGGAATTAGAACCAACACATAAGCAGGGTTAAGAAGATTTCTTCTAAAATTGCAATGAGGTGGCGGGGTCAGAGTATAATAGATACAGGGAAAAGAGTAAGATAGAGAACAGGGGTTCATAATGAAAGTATTTTGATAGCCAAATCATTTCCACCAGCACTGGGAAAGAAATAGGGTGCTGAGAAAATGTTTCTCAGCCAACAAGCCCACAGAAGCTGTGAGGGAGAGAAACCAGGGACAAGAGCTTGTCAGACTAATGCACTGTGTAGCCCTGGATGCCTCTAAGATACCTTTGTGCCTAAGGGAGGGCTTTAAAAACAATGCTGAGAGAGCACACATTGTGGCACTAAGCAAAGATCTCTAGATGTGGAGAAAGGAGACATGAGTCCCAGCATTGTTTCTCCCACTAACTAGCTGATTCTCTTCAGAAAGTCACTGACTAAACTTCATGATTCCCAGGAGAGGACTAGGTTAGTAATAATAATAATGGGTAGGTGTATTATATGCTAGGTAACATTCTAATGCTCTACATGCATTAAATCAGTTAATCCTCACAAGAATCTTATCATTTTACAGAGAAGGAAACTGAGGAAGTTAAGTAATTTGCCCAAGATAATATAGCTAGAAATCAACAGAGCTGGGTTTTCACCCCAAATGGGCTGTTTCTAGGGCCCAAGTCCATAGCCACTTTCATTAGAGTACCTCTAAGATACTTTCCAGATGTCAAATTTGGTAATTTTAAATAATACAACAGAAATTACAGATGACATAACACTTGCAAGAGAACAAAAACCTAGGGAAAATAGATATTACAATGAACATAAACAGATAAAACTCTTTTTATTTCAGAAATAATCGTACTCTTATAGCTTGCCATGCTCTCTATTGCTGACAAATAGAAGAGAGAGAAAATTTATAGTTGGATGATTTCTTCCTTTAAAAAGATTCAAGTCAAATATAACAGGATTTTGAGAAATATTTTACATAAGATGTCCTAGGCTATTCTAACCAGCGGGTAACATTGTTTTGCAGTTTAATTATTTAGCTTCTACACATTTTAAGAAGTCTAATCCATAAACATATGTAAACAGTTATAAAACCATTAAAAAGATAGTGTTTATTATTTAATGTAATGTGTAGATTTTTATGAAATATTATTAAGCATATTAAACGTCATATAAGGGATGTTTACTAGAACATTAAACACTGGCTATTTTGAGGTAATGGGAGCTGGATTTATAGTTACTTCTTTTCTTTACATTTTCTGCATTATTGGGTTTGTAAAAATTCTGAGCATGCATTCTTTTTTATAAATCAGAGAAACAGGTAGTTTACTGTTTCAGAAAAAAAAAAAAAAACTCTGTAGCTCAAGCTTGAGGGCCTATAGCCACCAGGTCGGGGCAGGAGCTAGATGCTGGATGGTAAGGACCAGTGACCTCTTAAAAAACAACTTAGATTAAGAGAGAGGTCACAATAACAGCCCTGGAGCTTTATAATTTATAAAAAAAATAATATTCACTTATAAAAACAAATTGAGATTTAATACACATGAAAAATAAATGACAAAAATCTCAGAAGCTGATCTACCATTTTCTTAGACAACAATATCAGGTGTAACTATCCTGTCCAGTTAAAATTGCCTAATATTAATTATATACAATAACATAAACTGTTTCCTTCACTTACTATCTGTATTATGATCAAGGAATGTTCTTCTTTTCATTGAATTAATCATTTATTTTTCCCTATTAAATCCTTTCTCAAGTTGCCTACGAATCTCATAAAATGAACCTTCATTCCCAGCCAGCAAAACCCTTAAAGTGATTTGCTTATATTTCTATGGCATATAAGTAAGTGAAAACCATAATATAGTAAATAATTATAATGAGATTGAACTAAAACTGGCTTCCTGACAGGTACCATTAGTGAATTGCTATTTCAATGTCCTAAACAGTCACCTGAGTTAATTCAATTTTCATATTAATTTTTGCCTTTAAAAGTCACTCTTCAGAGGATGGAAAACTGGCTCAATGTCTCAACTGTGACTGATGGCACAGTCTCTGAACATTCTTACTTATTTCATTTTGCTATTTAGAAATATTCTAATAACATGACCAAAACCTAACAAGAGCTATCTAACAGGTATTACTTATCTTAAAAGGAATACTGTTATTAGATTTATGACATTGGTAAAACTGGAAGATACTAAGAAAAAATATAAAAATAACAGAAACTTATTTTTTAATACAATGTGTTTTAATGTGCGCTGTTGCTATCTTTTAAGTTTTATAAACCACAGACATATATTAATTTTCAGATATGAATGACGACTGTTTTGAAAAAAAACTTATTTGTCATATACCGAGAACATAAAGTACCGCTGCCCTCACTCATGCACTCATTTGACTCACGGCGCAGTCCTGAATAATTTTAAACCAAACATGACTGCGGCAATCAATTTTTGTCCAATTTATTGGGCATGAGTTAAAGCCAATTAAAAAACCATTTTTGGTGCAATTCAAGAGGAAAACTGTATAAACCCATGAAAAACAAATTTCAGTCCTAGACATGAGTCATCACTATTCTAAATATTGGTGTCAGACCCAAATCAAAAAGAACAAATCCTAAAATTGCACAGTCCACCCTGGAAACTGCATTTATCAGCAATGATTTTACATAATTATTAATATTTTTATAAGAAATTGACCTGAAAGGAAAAGCATTCTCTTCTGTCTCATATCTGAATACTTTTTGCAATGAAATTAATAGGTAGTTTACAGCAGCTCCTTGAGTTTCTGCATTAAGAACTGAGGTAGAAAGTCATCTGTGACCTTTATATAAAGAAAGCAAAATATTTTACCTGTAATTTTCAAGTATCTTTTACCTATTAGACCATGTATTCTTTCACATGAATATAGTAGCTCTCTCTTAAGACCATAAAATGAAACAATCCCTGTACACTCCAGATATTCTTAGGGTAATCAAAGCAGCAAAATTGAAGCTTCTAGGTTGGAAATTACAGCTATAAAATACAGCCATACATTTTCGATCTGTATATTAAAAAGGCCTTTCAAGTTCAGGGTTGTCTCGGTTAAAAGTATTCATGCAGACCTGAATTCTGGTTCTGCCTCTCCTGTGTCCTTGGTATATGACTTTGGGCAAGTTGCCCAACCTCTCTGAACCTCACTTTTCTCATTCTTAAAATAGGTATTAAAAATAATCTACCTTTTAAGACTGTTGTGAGCATTAAGTGATTCAAGTATTTGTGTGACTCAAGTATTTGTCTGACAGAGAGTGAATCTTCATTGGATGACAGAACTGGATAAAGAAAACCCCAGTGGTTCTAACACATGACTGTGCATCAATGCCTCAACCTAGCTGTGAGGTTTTTCAAGTACAGATGCCTCCTCTTTACCTCAAGAGATTTCACTCTAATTCTGAGGTGTAGTCTAAGTAAGCATTTGTATTCATAAAAAAGCTCCACAGATGATTTTGATGAACAACTGATTTAGAGCAAAAATCAGTGCAGTTTTTTCAATTGTGCAATTAACATGGAGTTAAACAGTGGCTTGAACTATTTTGGTTATTTCTTTTGAGTAGATTAATTGGAATAATTGCCAATTTTATACATTGTGTTATACTGAAAAAGATTTAACTAGGACATCTTTAAAATATTTTATTTACATCCATATTGCTATGAGGTCACAGAATAAGTGTGATTTTCTACAACTTCCTGTTAGTAAAATGAAAGAACATGTGAGATAACCCTGGGAAGTGCAGTCATTCCACTGGCATAGATATATTTTACTCTTTGTTATGTTTTGTTACTTCTATTTAATAAACATAGGCTGATAAGCCAAAATTACCTAATCAGTTTTTTCAGAGTAGTATTTTCCTTTTGAGTTAGTTCATTTCTAACTGTCCTACTTCAAGATAAGCACGCTCCTCAATGATAGAGATCAGGTGGTGCCATGCTGTTAAGAACAGAAAGTACCAGAAAAATATACATGTTGGACTGACACAACCACCCCACAAGTTACTCACCATGATCGTTTAACAGAAACACGCACATTTTCCTTGGGATCTAATTTTAAATATTAACAGAACTCAGGACTCTCCTTAATATCCTCCATTAGTGGAGATTAATTTATTAGATGAACAACCTGTTACCTTGGAAGGAAAAGAGATATGTCCTAGTAGACCTTGGGTATTAGCAACGTCAGTAAAGGTGGCAGCATAAGCCCAGGGGAACAAAGAACAGTCAGGTCCTAGAAGTATCAAGAGAAGATGATGAGGAGGTAAGGAAACCAAGCAGATAGCTTCCACCATTTGCCTAGGTCAAGTCTGGGTGCAGCTGGTACATTCTCAGGATTTTATAGGCCTTCATGGTAGAAAACCAGAATGATTTATATGCTGGCACATCTCTATACAGAAATTCAGGGAAATTCCAATACTGCTACACCACCAGCCAGAGTTTTTAATTTAGAGATTCTAGAGAACAGACTTTTGTTATACCCTCTCTCTGGATTTAAGAATGGAAACTGCATAGATAGTACCTAAGGGCTCACTGGGACAA